AAAATAGCATATATATATATATATATATATATATATATATGCGCACACACACACAAACTTCCTCATCATCATTTTCTTCCAGACAGCTCGGGTGATGGCTTCCAAGGGAAAAGATGCGGGATGCTGATGTCCAAATGTATCTCAGGTTCTATTGGGTCACATATATTTGGGGGAAGAAGTGGATTTTGATTCAGATTTCAGCACAATAGGCTTTGGTGGAAGATTCTGCCTTTTGGGCCAGGTGTTGGGAGGCAGGAATGCACAGAGGGCCCATGGTGCTAGGAAAAACCCAGTCTGGGTCACCGCTGGTTTGGGAGAATCCTGCCGAGATGGTTAGAATTGCTTGAATCAAAGCCACAATGTTACTTTCTTTTTAAGAGGAGGACCAGGCAGGTTTGCTCAGGAAGTCACAAAGATATATAAGCAGCCCCAATTAACCCTCATCTATCTTCCTTGGAAAACCCAGCCTTGACTTTTAACTCTCTTCTCCTTTTATTAACATTCAAAGGTTTTAAAATTACACCCAGGTCTGAAATCAGGACAGGAGCTATTGGGTGCAATTCCATGGGTTTGGGCCTGAATGTTTTAGGAAATGTGTGTGACACCCAGCCTTGTGCAGAGAGAGGTCAAGTGAAAGGAAACAGTACTACACTCCAGCAGATCTGGGGATAGAATCCAGGCATCCTAATTCCCAATGTCCCCCTGCTCTAACCACTAGACTCCACTCCTTCAGGTGCATAGGCCTAGCCCTGGGCTGGAACACAGGTATAAGGAATCCGCTGCAGTGCCACTGTGCTCTTGTGAGGCTGCATCTCAGAGCAGGGTTTGTGGAAGGTGCATGGCAATGCCCTGGTGCTAACTACGGCACGTGGGCCTTTGTCACTAGCAGCCGAAGCGCCAGATCTCAGAGGCTCATAAGGTCATCACAGACTGGACACGGGATCTGAAGTTGCTGAAAGAGGCCCAGGGGAATCAGTGAGAGGGCTGTACCAGCCTAGGCATGAAAATTCACTTGCCTCCGCCACACACACACAGTACATGCACACAGAGAAAACACACACACAGAGGCAATATCTCTCTCTCTCTCTCTCTCTCTCTCTCTCTCTCTCACACACACACACACACACACGTCTCTCTTCCATAGAATCATAGCAATGTAGGGCTGGAAGGGACCTTGCAAGGCCAGCTAGTCTATCCCCCAATGCTGAGGCAGGACCATCTAAGACAGGTGTTTGTCCAACCCGTTCTGAAAAATCTCCAATGATGGGGATTCCACAACCTCCCTTGGAAGCCTGTTCCAGTGCTTAACTATTCTTCTTATTAGAAAGTTTTTCCTAACATCTAACCCAAATCTCCCTTGCAGCAGATTAAGCCCATGATTTCTTGTCCTACCTTCAATGGACATGGAGAACAATTGATCCCCGTCCTCTTTATAACAGCCCTTTACATATTGGAAGACTATTATCAGGTCCCCCCTCAGACTTGTTTCTCAAGACTAAACATGCCCAGGTTTTTTTCTTCATAGGTCAGGTTTACTAAATTTTTTATCGTTTTTGTAGCTCTCCTCTGGACTCTATCCAGTTTGTCCACATCTTCCTAAAGTTTGGCATCCAGAACTGGACACAGATCTCCAGCTGAGGTCTCACCAGTGCTAAGGAGAGTGCAACACTTACTCCAATGTCTTACCTATGACACAATGATATTAACCTTTTCTGCAACTGCATCACATAGTGGATTCATATTCAGTTTGTGATCCCCTATCATTTCCAGGTCCTTTTTGACAGAACTACCACCTAGACGGTTCTGCCCCATTTTGTAGTTGTGCATTTCATTTTTCCCCTCCTAAATGTAGTACTTTGCACTTGTCTTTTGTGAATTTCATCTGAGTGGTTTAGACCAGTTCTCCAATTTGTCAAAGTCATAAAGTGTTTTCAACCCCTCCCAGCTTGGTGTCACCCACAGATTTCATAAGCATATTCTCCACTGTTATCCAAGTCATTAATGAACATATTGAACAGTACCAGATCCAGGACAGACCCTGCAGGACCCCACTAGATAAACCCTCCCAGTTTGATGGCGTACCGTTGAATTACTTTTTTAATTCAGTTCTTCAACAAGTTGTGCACCCACCTTAAAGTAATTTCATCTAGACCACATTTCCCTAGTTTTCTTATGAGAGTGTCCTGTGGGACTGTGTCAAAAGCCTAATATTAAGATCTATGTCTACCACTTCCCCCCATCACTAGGCCAGTAATCCAGTGAAAGAAGGAAATTAGGTTGGTTTGGCGTGATATATTCTTGACAAATCCATGTTGCCTGTTACTTAGTACCCTATTATCCTCTAGGGGCTTACAAATTGGTTGTTTAATAATCTGTTATTATTTCATACATACACACACACACAAAGTTGCAAATCCTTGATTCTGGAGAATAGGAATAAATACAATTATTTGGCTGATTGGAGAGCCGGCAATAAATATCCCATTAGCAATATCTGTAAAAGGCGCTGCCTTCTTGCTGATGGCTCTCCCAGTGGCGTTCATCCTTTAATAGCTAAAACAAGCGCACATAAAACACTTTTACCTGCTTATGACAAAACAACAAATGCTAAAACTAAACAAATTCTAGACCTGATAACCCCCAAGGATACAGAATAAAACTCCCCTGTCTTTCAGTTCCAAGGGGGGTGGGGGAAATAATTCCAAGTAAGGGAAGTGGCTAAAAGATTTGATTCTGCATTGTCCTGTGTCTTGTTTTCTCACTACCCCAGTGCAAAGTGATCTGCTGTTCTGATTTAGGTGGCATTTCATACCCATTTTGCATAGGCATAAAGGACAATAGTTGGCTGCAGGGCAATGTGTCCTGCATTTAGACCCAATTCACCAAAGCACTCGAGCACATGCTAGACAAGCCCCAATGGGTGCATTTTCATTAGGAAAAAAGGTGTGCTAACTAACATGAGTTAATATCCTAGTGAAGACAAAGCAGTCTGTAGTTTTAACACACATTAGTAGGTTAAAGTAAAAACTAGTGGAGAGCCCTGACCAAGATCAAGGCCACATCATCCTGTGCAATACACAGATACATAATGAAAGACAGCTCCTGCCCCAAAGAGCTTACATCTAAATAGACAAAGAGTGGGAGGGGAAACAGAGGCAGAGAGAGGGGAAGTGATTTGCCCAAGGTCACACAGCAGGTCAGTGGAAGAGGTGGGAATAGAACCAGGTGTCCTGAATCCTAATCCTTTGCGACATCCATTAGAACACATTGCCTTCCTAGAAACAAGCCACTTTGGGTCACATATCGAAAATGATTTAGTTAAACGGGAGCAAACTGTGTGAACACACTTATATCAGTTTGAAACTGGTTTATATTGGTTTGACTTGTGCTTGTACGGCATTGTGTATATGGGAAGGTTGCACCAGTATAGCCTAAGAGTGGATATTCTTACTTCGATCTGAACCTGGTTTATATCAATCCTGTATAGGACGTTGGCGAGAATGATACTGGAGTACTGTGTCCAGTTCAGAAGGCCATATTTTAAAGGGGATATTAAAAAATTGGAGAGGGTGCAGAGAAGACCCACAAAAATGGTCCAAGGACTGAAAAAAATGCCTGCCAGTGAGAGACTTCATAAGTTCAAACTGTTTAGCTTCTCAAAAAGATCAAGAGGTGACTTGATTACTAGTAAGCAGATACATTCATGGGGAGAAAATCGCAGGTCCTAAAGGGCTCTTTAATCTAGCAAAGGAGGGCAGAACAAGACCCAGTGGCTGGAAGTTAAAGTCAGACACATTCCAATTAGAAATAAGACACCAATCTTTCACAGTGCAAGTGATTAACCACTGGAACAAACTCCCAGGGGATGAAATTCTCCATCTCTTGGTGTCTCCAAATTCAGACTGACTGCCTTGCTGGAAGATGCTTTAGCCAAACGGCAAGTTACTGGGCTCAGTACAGAGGGAACTGGGTGAAATGTTATGGCCTGTGTTATGCAGGAGGTCAGACTAGATGATCTAATTGCCCCTTCTGGGATCAAACCAATGGAGTATAGTCCACACACAGTCGCAACCATTTAACTATATTGGTTTAACATTAACATCTTTAGCTAAATCGGTACAACTTCTGTGGAGAGCCAAGCTCTACATTTATCAACACAATCTAAATCAATATGAGCCCGGTTTAAACTGATATAAGGACATCTCCACAGACGTTTGCACTGATTTGTCTGAAGACCAGGTCTTAAATCTTGCTTATAATCAAAATTGTGCTAATCTCATCTCATCTACAACCAGAGTGGCAACAATTATTACTATTTATTATTTGTATTATCGGAGCCCCATTCATGGACCAGGACCCCAGTGTGCCAGGAGCTGTACAAACACAGAAAAAGACACAAGTCCCTGCTTCAAAGAGCTTACAATCTAAGTGTAAAATAAGAAACCCGGATACAAACAGAGCAATAGAGAGTATGGTGATTTTAATCTGAGTTAGTAACAATCCCTAGCATTTATATAACCCTTTTCATCAGTAGATCTCAAAGGACTTTACAAAGGATAAATAGCATTATCCCCATTTTAGAGGTGGGAAACTGAGGTACAGAGGGGGGAAGTGACTTGCCTAAGGTCATGCAGCAGGCCAGTGGCAGACCAAGGAATAGACACCTGGTCTCCTGAATCCCAGTGCAGTGGGATTCATAAGACCACACTGTCTGTCCAAATGCAAGCATTCAAAAAGCAGGTTTAAAAAAAAAAAAGGTGGGGTTCCTTTTATTTGTCTTCCAGATGTCACATTCTTCTCTATAACCAGGAGAGATGGAGACTTTTTTTAAATAAGAGCTGGCAGTCATGAGAATCCAGGAGTGCAACCTGCATTACAGACAAACCCCAGATCTGCCCTTGTGCCCAAATCTGCTTTTACCCCTTGCAAACTGCAACTGCAATTCCAGCAAAGCTTGGCTCTGATGTTCCTTGGAAAATACAGCTTCCCCAGCTGATTATGCTGGGTACCTGGTCTGTCCCGATGCAAATGTATGCAGCTAATTAGCCACTTGCCAGAACCACCAAGGGATAGGGTGGAGGGATATTTATTCACAAAGTTCAAAAGAGTCATTTTAAAGTGGGAAAAGTCTTATTGCTCTTTCTTTCCATTCACAACCCTGGCAAGGTAAAAGACGACAAAAGAAAGGCATACAGCAGCGTTTATATTTATATGATTAACACTGCATGAAAGGATCCAGCCCTCATTTCCGGCATTCCACCTCCCACGAAGTGTAATTTTATTAAGTGTTTAACTCTACACACAGTACTTAACAAACAGAGCTAATTTGAACTGGCGCTCCAAGAGGACACGTTTAGCACAATGCAAGCCTGGCGCTCATTAATTCAGGTGATTCGAGCATGTTTGGCTTATGTCTTTCCCCTCCGCGCACCTGGAGTTTACAGTAACAATTTACAGCTCAGCTTGCAAAGCTGCCATAATTTAAGACAGAGCCATTTAAACGGGTAAAAAAGTGTTTTAAAATGCAAATGGTTTTCCTTTATTTATTTAATTATTTATTTATTTGTTGCCAAAAAATTCAGCTGCTAAACTCATTAGCTGAAACTAAGCCACTTAAAGGTGACACCAAATATGGATTTTTTTTTATGTTTGCCAAGGATTGGCTCCTTCTGCCTAGGGTGACCAGATGTCCCAATTGTATAGGGACAGTGTCAATATTCGGGGCTTTGTCTTATATAGGCACTTATTACCACCCACCCCGGTCTTGATTTTTCACACTTGCTATCTGGTCACCCTGCAGGGGCCCAATCCTGCAAATGCCAAGGGCAAAGCAGTCATGAGACCAACCAGAACATTTCACGGTCGCTTTGCACTAGTATGAACGAACAGGAGTCGAGCCCTGTAGCTTCCACCATCAATATTTGATCCAGGTGGAATCTTGAGCCTAAAGACAAGCACAAAAATTCTCTGAGGAAGCAGTCTCATCCCAGACGGTCTCTGTACCTTGCAATCTATCCTCACTACTAGACATCACTCCCCCAACACACACATTGCGCTATCTGTTTAACTCACTTATGCCATCCAGCTTCATAGCTGCCTAGGGCTTTTACTTTGAGTAACAGCAGTCACCGTTCTTTGAATAGCACATGATCGTTTGGCCTGAATTCTTCACTGGCTTCTTAAATTTTCTTCTTGTTCCCTTCCATTTTTGCAGGGGGTGGTTTTTGCAATCCGAGAATCTGGAGCAATTTATCTCATCCCTCCCTCATCCTTGGGAGTTTAGAGAGAGATGGGGTAAAATTTTCAAATGTGCCTAAGTGACTTAGGAGCCAAATAGCCATATTTAAAAATGATGTAGGCAATATGGAGCCTAAGTCTCACTGAAAGACAATAGGATTTAAGCTCCAAAGGTATTAAGCAAACCTGATCAAAAATTTTCATACAAACTAGTTTTCCGTCGGAATATGCTGACTGGATTAAATCAGAACTTTTTGCTGGATTTCATCAGCATTTTTGTAGGAAATTATCCAAAATGCTTTGCTTCAAAAAGGGTGAAAGGCTTGGTTTTGATGCTGTGTTTTTATATTCTAGTATCAGATTGTATAAAAGTCTAAACAAGACATTTTGACCTTATCAAAACAAAATATTTTTGAATTGTTCACAGAATGGAAATTCCATTTTTTGGCCAGCTCTAGTATTTAAGCACCTAACGATGCAGATGGGTACCTACTAGGATTTTTAAATGTGCCTAAATGAGCTAGGTGCCTAAATCCCATTGCCTTTCACTGGGAGTTAGGTGCCTAACCTGCTTAGAAGCCTTTAAAATTCTCACTAGGCATCTACCCGCATCTGTAGGTGCCTAAATACCTTGGTAAATCTGGCCCTAAGTCACTTTTACAAATGGGACTTGGGCTCATAGGTCACTTAGGTGTTTTCTTAATAGAGGTCCCCCCCTAAAGCTTTTCTCCTCCCTTAGAATAAGCTTAGCTACTTTATTCTTTCTGCGGCAGGTATCTGGGCATAATCTATTGACTAGGGTTGGGGGGATGGGACTGGGAATCAAGACTCCTGGGTTCTATTACTAGTTCTGGAAAGTGAGTGAGATTTAGTGGTTAGAGCAAATGGGCTGTGACACAGGACTCCTGGGTTCTACTCCCAGCTCTGTTGTTGACTCACTCCATGACATTGGGCAAGCCACATACCCTCTGTGTGCCTCAGTTTCCTCCAAGAGTAAAACAGGGATTGAGAGACTAAATTACCTAATGCTTGTAAATTGCTTCTTGCTGGGAAGTGCTACAAAAGTGCAAAGTATCGTTATTTTTAATAAGTTGTGGGAACAGAGTTGTCCCTCCTCTTTGACCTTCAAAGCAAAGACAATCTGGTGGAATGGTGGCCCATTTTCACCTCAGTCATCGAGATGAGATTGAAGGCCAGCACTCTGAATCGATCTCATTTCATCTGTTTGTGACACAGTGTTCCCAAACAGTTTAAAATACATCCCGAACATAGGAATCAAAAGACTAAATCAGACCCGTGGGCCATGTAGCCCAGTATCCTGGCCAGATTCTTCAGAAGTATCCTTGCAGTAGGCAGATGTGGGATAATCTACCCTCTACAATCCCTAATAGAGATCGGTTTAAGCCCTGAAGCATGAGTTTTAATATCCCTTCTAATGCTCATTTTGTTGGCATTAACTATTCTAACTCTGGATATTCTTGTTATCCAAACGTCCAATCCCTCTTTGAATCTTTCAAAGGTTCAAATCATCAGACCTGATGTTTTAAAAACAAGGCTTTAGGATGAGAGTCACCCTTTGAACTACTTAATTCAAGCAAGCACCACAAGCCCTGTTCTGATGGTCATATTAGACGAGTTAATAGAAATATCCTTGTCCCTGATCTGGGTGCCATCAGTTTGACAACAGTGTAGCCCCCAGTTTGAAACTGGTGTGAATCCCAGAATTTGACACCAGTGTGACTCTCATCTTGAAATGGTGGGACTCCCACCTTGAAACTGACATAACTCCCAGTTTGACACTGGTGGGACTCGCTGACTGCATTGGGAATTACTCCTGATTTACACTGGTGTAACGCTGATCAGAATCAGGACCCTTATGCTCGCAATCAGTGATGCAGCCTTTACAAACAATTTCTTTCCTTATCAAGGAATGTTAATCCCCTTCTCATCCTCAGTTTGATGGACAGAAATTTAGGAGACATTGATTTTTGTTCCTTAAGATTGTTGTTATGAGATCATCAGATACTGGCTTGGTTCTTTGTTGACTTGACTCTTGTGCACTCATTTCCACCAGTGCAAAGTGAGAATGTAAATATTACCCATTCTAATTAGGTAGCACTTTGTGTGACATTCAGGGAGACAAGAAACGGGGCCCATTTCATTTTGACGTCAATGGCAGCTTTACCTAAGTAAGTTCTACAAGCTTTGCTCTTGGCTGTGTTGTAGTCTGGATGGGGGCTGGTATCAAAACCAGTGGCATCAGAACATGGTTGGCAGGGCATCTGGCTTTTTAGCACCGCAGTTACAATTCCAGGGAGGCCTGGATGAATTTTTATACATGACTAGTAAACAAACAACAGGATTGTCTTTGAGGCTGGGGAATGCAAGGCAGAAACAAATATATCTAAAGAGGCCTAGGAGTTCCAGCTCCTATCTGGCCTGTGTTTAAATACACCAGTATCCATTTCAGAATTTACAATACACTGTAGCCCCTGCATAATGCTACTCTTACAGCTGGGGGCACTATCTAAACAGCACCCCCTCCCCCTACCACTCTAAGCCTTCAAAACCTTATTTTCACTGGTTGTTGCAAGAAAAGCTATGACAGGACTAGAACTTTTGGAGCTGTAAACTCCAAGCAGTTGGTTAAAGTAACAAAGTGAGAGTGAGGTAAAGAGGGCAGAGTTAAGGTTGGGTGGTGGGAGTGAGGTATACATTAATACACCTCTATCCATCCCCAAACACTCCCCTCTATCTTCTATCCATCCCCACACACACCTTTCTCTATCTATCCAGCCCCCACACACCCTTTTATCCATCTACCTATCTGCATACACATCTTTCTATCAATCTATCCATTCACTCATCCCTCCCTCTTTCTCCACACCCATTTCCTGGGTTTGGGAAGTTTAAATTTGCATGTTCTTAATGTAAGTTTAGCCACTTTGCATATTCTGGAAGGGCACATGACAGCAGCAGGCAACCATAAGTCTGCCTTAACCAAGTTTTGGGGTAGTTAATAGACAGGGAAAGTATTGCATAGAGCGAGGAGCATGGCTAGTATTGTAGCTGTCATCTTCATGGCTGTCAATTGACATGCAAACCAGTCGCCCCAAGGAGCAGCTAGCTTTCCATTCCCCCACATAATCCAGATCAGAATTGGACTGGCACGCAGCCAACGGACATTCAACAGCTCAACACAGCTGCAAAGGAAGTCAACCCCTTGTGTAGCATCGTTAAAAGATTCAGGTCAGCTCGTTGCAAACTGGACCTCGCATAGCATCATCAAACAGACTCAGTTCAGTCCCTTGCAAACTGCAAGGGATCCATCGGACCTCAAACAGCACCATCAAACAGAATCAGTTCAGCATTATGTTCAAATTCTGTATCTTCACATCAGCGGGACCACAATCCCCCCACTCGTCCATCCCTTTTCTTCTTCCGTGCATCTGCTGAGCCAGGCGCGGATGGAGGCCGGCCTGGTTATCCTGTCTCCTCGCCACCAAAATAAGGGTTCTTTTCCGAGAAACCAAAGTGCACTCATTGCGCGCCCTTTGGCCTCTTTCCTTTAGGTGCCTTGAAATTTTCAACGTCTGAGATGAATGTGTTCCTTTGTCCCCCTTTTTTTTTCATATAAAAACAAAAAACAAAACAAATGGACAAAAAAAGTACGAGTTTAAAAGAAAAAAATTCTTTCCTTGTCCTTTCTTGAAATAAAATAGAAAGATTTAACTTTTACGGTGGTTTGAGTCATTCTCTCCTCACCTGGTGGGTGAGGCTAGGTGTGCAACTGCAAAATTAAAAGGAAGGCACTGTCGTGTAGAGGAATAAAAATGGATTGGTGCTAGGGTAGGCTTGGAGCGTGAGCTGGAAGAGAGCTACCAAGGGAATTATATGTTGCTTTTTCTCCCCAAAGCACTGCACAGTGGCCCTGAGAACAGATAAGCATTTCCATCCCCAAGGCCAGAGTGATGTTAGTGTATAAATATCAAGGCAGCTCCTAAAACCAACCTCTATCTATCCATCCATCGGTCTCCATATATACTCTTCTATCTATTCATCCATCTCTGTACACATTTTTCTCTATCCCCCTATCACCTTCTATCCACCCATCGCCATAAACACCCCTCTATGTATCGGTGTACACAGCACTCCATCTATCTATCCATCCTTTCATTTATCCATCCCCAGTCATATCTATCTATCTATCTATGGCCACCCCTACCACTCTGGATGCCAGGCAAAAAAACTCCAGATCCTGTAACAGATCAGGGGATAGGCATTGGCCATGATGTAATGGGCAATATGAGGGGAAGGGTGTTAGGCCATGGTGCAAGCGGGTGATGTGAGGGGAAGGGCGTTAGGCCATGGTGTGAGGGGGATGAGAGGGGAAGGGCATTAGGCCTCATGCCCTTCCCCTCACGTCCCCCCTTCACACCATGGCGTAATGCCCTTCCCCGCACATCCCCCCTTCACACCATGGCG